CCCCCATGCAGTAGATGGGCAGACCAGAGTACAGGAGCACAGTACACACACTTAGGAATGTCCCAGATCCAGACAAACATCAGGCTGGGACAGCAATTTGTCTCCAACAGTGGCCAGTAGCAGGAAAAGAATATAATAAGGCAAAACCAGGGTGGTATTTTCCAGCATACTTACCTAGCTCTTGGCAGGAGGCAATTTACAGATTTCCGGAGGCAGAGGTGGTTTGGGTATTTTGTTTCCTTTGGGTTGCAGTTCAAGCTGCCATTGAAATACCTGAGCTATCATCAGTGAAACAGGAGGCTGCTTAAGAATGTGTGTCTGGAGGAAAAAATGTTCCCAGAGTGGAAACGTGTAGGCAGAGAGGTATTTTAGTCTTCGTGTGACTTGACTTTGTGCGGTACTCTGTAGCAGGGCCACCTCGTTGGGAAGCTGTGCCAACCAGCTGGGGAGAAAGGGTGAGGATTATTGTGAGGTGGGGATACCCTGCCAGATTCTTAGGCATCAAAGCCCTTCTCCGCTTGCTTTCGTCAATCATATCGTATTCAATTTTTGCATCGTTAAGTATTTTAAAAGCTGCATTTGGTTTCAGAATGTGACTTTGGAATTTCGGCATAGGATACAATCTGATGACTGCTGGTTTAAGTCTGCTGAAGATGTCACAACCAGAGGGGGGAAAAAAAAAATATTGCCGGAGCCTGTTTTAAGTTATGCTTTGTGTTCTAATTGTTCTGCTGCCAGAATTGGACTGTATTAGATAAATGCACATCCTGCATGAACAACAGACACAAAGAAGCCAGTCCTAATTGAATATATAGTAGCAAGCTGTGACTCTCATCCTTAATTTCCTCCTTTTACAGTGTCTAATCAGGGTCATCATGCTAAGCCACATTTTTATATGGTTTCCTTACGGCAGTCCCTTTAGAAGTTGATAATCCCTAGTTTGGAAAATACAAGACAAAGAAAGAAACATCTAAGTGGGAAGTATTTGCTTAATGGAAACTCCCTATCAAAAGAAGTGTAATGAAGTGCCTGATAAATACTTTAAGAGGAGGTCTGAACTGCTCCTCAGCATGGTACAGGGACAAAGATGTGAAATGTTGGGTTGTGTAGAGAAGTTGATTTAATATAACATTTGTCATCCCCTCAACTTTTTACTTAATAAGCTTTCCAAAATATATTTTTGGTAATTAAAAAAAACCAAAAAGAAAAGGGGTTGGATGTCCGTGTTGGTAGCTGAAATAACAAGGCATAACTTCAGCCTCTCGTATGTTTGTGTTTTAACTTGGGTTACTTCATTAAATTAGCTTAACACTCTGAGTTACTCATTTGTGGATGACCACAACCTTGCTATCAAAAGTTGTAGCAAGATGAAGAACTCTTGTGTAGAAAAATATATATACATGGCTGATCAGACCTTGGAAGCCAATTTAATCTCTCCTTCCTAAAGAACTCTTAGTGGAACTTTGTACTTCATTGAAAATGTCCCTGTTTGACACTCAGTAGGTTAAAAAAGCCCCAGTCTTTAAAGAGCTGATTATTATGTATGTTCTATGTTCTGGAATATTTATCATGTTAAAGAAAACTGTAAATCTTAAAGTGATAACATGGCTTAGCCAGACAGCCACATTTTTCACATTTTATAGTCTTTGATGGTGTGATACAGACAGAAGTATGTATTCAAGCAATATATGGAAAATGATGTTACTTAAAATAAGTTATTTGAACATCTAATCTATTTTCTAGTCCTTAAATGTTCCTGAGCCTCGGGCAGAAAGGGAGCTTGGGTATTTGTGTGAAGACCTGTGTACGGCCTTGGCTACACAAGGGTATCTTCTATCTTCAGAAAGCAGCTGCTTTTTTTTTTTTTTTGTTCAGGGGCAATTTCTATGGAAGAAGATCTTCCAGCTGATAATGGTTAGCAAGTGTAAGACTTAGTTTTGCCTTACCAAGAAGTGGTGAGTGTAGCTGTATTCTGTAGTGAACCCCGCATGAAGTACTGCTGGGTTTGAAAGCAAAGCTTTTTTTTGCCCTTTTTTTTTTTTTTTGAGGTTCCAGACACACAAGAGCATGCAACTTTGCAGGTGTCAGCTTCAAGAAAGTTCAAGAAAGTACATACACTTTATGTATTGATGAAGGTTTTTGGTGCTTTAATGGGGAATTCTAAAGAGAGGAATGGCAATGGGTCAGTGGAAAACAGCTGAGAACTACTGAGTGGTACAATTTTTGCCTGCATATCTCTGGCTGACTGAAGGAATAGGACAAGAAATGTGAATTTCAGGGTGGTTCTAGATTTGCAAAACCACTTAAAAATCCTATTTTTGTAAGATTTGGGTTTATAATGTAGAAGGAATATATATACATATATATATATATGTATGTATATATATTGCTCCTGTGGCTTTCTCTATCTGTCTTGGGATGGATTTAAACTAAAATAATATCATCATTTCCCCTTTAATTTCTTTTCCGTTCTTTGTTTGAGGGTCACTTGGATTTCTTATTCTGCTCTGAGAGGAATCCACAAAACACATGTGTAACTCACTTTGATCTCCTGACTACACAAAATACATAAAATCCTAGTCTTGTGAAAGCAGTGGTAGGTCTTTCTGTGGACGTCAGCAACAGCAGGACTTCATGTGTTGTGGGGAATATACAGAAGACAATTGTAAATAGCCAAAGATATATTAAAAGCAGAGACTTGTGGTTTTGGTTATGACCCAGATCCCAAGTAATGGACATCTAATATTTAGGTTAAAATTTCTTGGCTCCTTATAGAGTTGACCTGGGGAGGACTGAGGTTCTCCTTCCAGTTAGCTATTCCTGGCTGGACCAGACTGTCCCTGACTTGAAGCCAGTCTCATTTGCAGATACACTGCAGTCATGTTTAAAAAGTGCCTCTTGCTGGTTAAGAACAACCCCTTTTAATGCCGATAGGCCTCTGAGGAAGCTCTTGGGGTCCTTCAAAATGGAAAAACTTGTTTGACTGTGACACCTGTTGTATAAACAAAAGCTGTCTCAAACTGTGAGTGTTTCAGCCTTATGTCAGGTCAAGATTGCAATGTCCGTGAGTTAATAGATGTTTTTCATTTACCATTAAATTTCTTTCAATGCTAATTGTGTTCCTGATGAATTTTTCCATTTTGATTGGTGAACTTAATTAAGAGTTTAGGAGCAGTATTGTCTTGCCACTGAAATGCAAGTGGATTTTTGTGAATAATTCAGAACTGGAAGTCTGAGACAATTAAATCAGTGCCTATTACCTGTAGCGAATGTTGATCATGATCCAAGCGGTTTCTTCTCCCTTTTTCCAACTCTGCAGAACAATGATATACAGCTGGTGTGGTTTTTTTTTTTTAAGTGACCATGCAGGAAGTAATAAATTAAAAAAGAAACAAACTGCACAAACATTCCTAAATCTCAGCACTGCAGAGGAGCTGATATAAATTATGTGAATCATTTGTGAACATGTCTTCCAGGCCTTTTAAATTTAATTTATGCTTGTGGAAACCAGTTTATATATTAAGTCTCCATACTGACCCTGGAGTGAGACACCTACTTCAGGCTAAGTTGCTGCACTAAGCTTTCTAGTGTGGTTATTTTCTGAATGTCTATCAATTTAAAGTGAGGAATTTCCACTGTGGCAAACAGAAAGCAATGAAGGCCTTTTAGGATGGTATGGTGTGTGGGTTTTTTAAAGAACATGACATACAGCAAACAAAATAAATTGGCAGTGTAGGCAACTTTTCCCAAGATAATCTGCAATGGTTTTCTTTAGAAAAATAAGTTCTTTTTTTAAAGTAAAACGATTAAGGTAAAAATATCTCAGTATGGAATTTCGTGCCATTTGACAATAGGCAGACAAATCCCAGAAGCTGGTCTTGGTTGGGTGCTCTCCTGCACAGACCTTGTGCCACAGGGCTCTTTAAGGATGGTTTCTTTTTTCCCACCCTTCAACACGTGCTCAGCTGGGACCACTGGGATGGCTTGCATGTGGCCTATGAAATCTGTAATGTAGCTGCTGGCATTCATCCCTAGGATTCTGTATGAGCTGACCTGTCTTGCGATTCTTCCTTCAGAGGTAGCTGGTTGAGAGCTGTCCCAAGTAAGGGGGAGAATACCAGCAGTAATAAAAAAAAAAAAAAAAAAAAGGGGGGGGAACTCCCCTAAAACCACCCCCACGCCACAAAAACCTCAGAGTGTATTTATGTTATTTTCTCCAACATCATCTTGTTGGATAGCTACTCCTGGATAACAAGACGGCAGCAAACAACAGTAACAGCACTTATTGCTCTTTTGCTTGGTCTTTTCTCCTGCAAACACATTTCTTTTTAGTGGTGCAGATGGGTTTGTTTTTTGGTGGTTCAGATTTTCTCTATAATGTCTTATTAATCTAAATGTAGGAAAAAACGTAAGTGGCACAAGTCAGGTAAATCT